TCTACTCAGTTGAACGCCTGTCATGCTCTTTTGCTCGTTTGCTCGCTGCAATATGCCATCCATCCAAATGCCGTATCTCATGCCCTCCAAAATGAACGCCCAGAGCCTCAGATGTTTTCCCTTGCTCATGAGACTTCTCCTACTCATAAGTATTCTCATAAGGATCCGCATCATCAATATCCTCATCCTCGCCATTATCAAAATACTGCTCTGCATTATAATCATCATCGCTCTCCTCCGAATCCGTACTGGCGGCGCTCCAATTATCCTCTTCATCAACCGCATCAGGTTTCTCCTCGTCGATCTCGTCGTCTTCGGCTTCGGCGTCGTCGTCGTCTTCTTCGGCGCGCGCTTCGGCTTCGTTGGTGCGTTCTTGTTCGGATTTTATGAGGCGCTCGATTTGAGAAACGCTGCTTACTTTTGTTACGGCGAGGGTGCGGCGTGCGGGCTTTTTGGCGTTGGAGGTCGAGGTGCTGGTTGTGCCGGTGAGGGTTGTGCGGAGTTCGGTGGGGAAGAGGTCGACGACTGCGTGGGGTGTTAGTTCTGTGGTTGATGGCTAACAAGTGTGCATGGAGACCTACCGTATGGTCGCGCGTCTAGCTTTGGGAGGCGCCGGCGCACTTTTAGGTATTTCGCGGAGTAGGTTTGGTTGCCGGTGAAGGGGTCGAAGAGCGAGGCTTCAGTGGGGGCGGGCTCGTTGGCCTTGCGCTTTAGGCCGTTCTTCATGCCGTCGTTGAGGATGGTGTAGAAGGGGCCTTCGTGGATGCGGTCGCGGACTGCGAGGTGGTGCTTTACCATGGCTAGCTCATCGTCGGTTGGTGGAGGCGCTTGGGGAGGTGGTGCTTCCTGCGTATGGCTTAGTGGGTGAATCAAGGATGCGCTCTTCAGTATTGTGCTGGTGGGTTGCTGCGACTGCAACTGCGACTGCGATTGGCGAGGCATGGCGGTTGCGACAACATTATACAGACATGCGCAGTGCTACAAGACATGCGCGATGCCATAGAAAACATGCGCAGAGCAGTCGCGATACGGCTGATGGGTGTGCGACGGAGGAAGGGAGATGCTCACTGGAAAGCGCTCGGCAGGGCCCTTCTGTATGTCGAGGCCAGTAAGATCCCAGTTGAGCTCCGTTCCCGCAATCGTCACGGTTCCTCGCGCGGGATTGAAGGCACCTCCGCGCGAACCTCCGCGGCCACCACCTCGTCCTCCTCTTGCTGGCGGCATGTCAAGTTTCTTGTATTATACGAGTCGCGGTATCTACTATGGTTTTCTTTTACGGCAGGTCGAATAGGCGTCGTCGAGGGAGACTTTGGCGAGAGTTGTGGAGTCAGAAATTATTTCGGTGCAGTTGCGACCGGCTTGCTAGGCTGAGCTCGAGGGTGGGGTCCCAATAGCGAACTTGCACCCGCAGCCCCGCCACCTCTACCCTAAACCCCGGTATTCAAGTGCACGACAATAGGACCGTTCGAAGCGATACCAAGTCATCTACAGTCCTTAACCGGATGCATATCGAGTTATAGCGGCCCAGCTTGAGGTACAGCCGCAGTCCAAGCAGTCAGCACTCGCCATCACCGCGCATCAGGCTACAGGGAACGCGTGCCCCATACGCGCAATCACATGAGCGGCCTAGAACCTTCTCTTACACTATAACCGCCACGCTCGAGCCAGGACTACCATCGAGAACGTCGACAATCCAACTTCTTTAAGAAACACTACATCCAGACATCCAAAATGGCCGCATCGACTGCTACGCTCAGCGAGCTGTCAGAGCATCTACAGAAGGTCGACCAAGATCCTACCACTCCGCTCGACACAGATCTACTTGAGCGATGCGAGCTCTCCACCAACACTCCAGAATACCGTAGCCATATATGGAAAGAGACGAGGCCGCTCTTTCTGCAGATGGCGGCGTTACTACCAACGCTTCAACAAGACCCCACGCCACTCACCCACTTCATCATCAAGCTGGCGGAACCATATCGATTTGACGATATCAAGGACATTGACTTCGAAATCGGCCTGGATCTAAAAGCTACTCCATTTCACAGTCTCATCCTGACACTGTTAGAGAAGGCCACCACCAGTAGCACCGATGCTCAAGCACTTGCGAACCGGCCAGCGGTCATATTGGCCATCGTCCGTCTGTGGTTATGCACCCAAGATGCTGGAGTCGCTACACAAGCCGAAGAGCTTCTTACTTCGTTACTGGAGGTGTCGAAGAATGAGCCTGTATCGATAGACGGCAAGTCTTCGCTACATACGTATGGTACAGGTCCCATGTGGAGGCGCCTATTCAGCGACAGGGATATCAGTTCGCTGTACTACCATTACACATCTCTCAAGGACCTCACATCGCCACCTCAACCACTTCTGAACAAACGTGACAAGACAATTTCACAGGCTAGACTATTATCCTGGCTACCGCGTGTCGCCGCTATGGACTGGAATGCCGTCACATCCCCATACAATCTGGAAGTCGAAAAAGAAGTCGGACTTAAGGAAGGCCAAGGCTTGCTTCACTACGCTGCACTGAAGATGGTCGACACAGAAGATGATATGCTCATGCATATGACCCTCCTCCAATTCTACAGCACATTGATCACCACGGTCAAAGCGAAGCCCCACCTCTCACACTACGACTCAAGTCTTGCTCTAGATTTCCTCATAGAAGAAGGCGTACACAAAGGCATCGTCGACTTCCATACCTCAAATAACCCCAGCCTTGACCACTCTTTCTTGAGCAGTCGGACAGCCCAGTATATCAGCGACTACGCATCGCATTACCCAGAGAACTTTGAGAAAAGTAGCGAGATGCCCACTATCCGAAATTACGTACACCGCAACATTCGCAAGTGTGAAGCAAGCGACCTGAACATTATTGCTTCAATGCCTCGATCAACGCTTATACCGCAAAAAGCTTCGGGGCCATCCTGGGATGACTGTGTCATTACCGACATGCCAATCACGCGAACGAACCAAGACGCGCTCAAGACACTTGCAACCATCTTCCACGGTCCACCAAAAGAAGAGATCACGTTCCCACAAACCGAAACTATAGGTTCAGACAGCAAACGCACTCAGACGGAAGCAGCATACGCCCGCCTCCTCACCGCCCTCTTCTATATGAAAAAGCCAAACATGTTCGCCGACATAACTACACACATGGAAACCATCGCCATGAAAGAAAACGCACTCGCAGCCCTGACCCTCGTCGGTGCCCTTATCACCTCGACCTGGTCGACCGAACCAATTCCCAACATCCCCGCAAACGACCCAACTTACGCCCGTCTCAACGCCTTCCCCAAATCCGGGGTTGATCTCATCTTAGACCCTACTATTAGCGGCGGTGTTCTCCCTTCACTGCTCAAGCCAGCAACGACTTTTTCCAACCTCGTTGGTGGACGCGGCGATGCGGAGAACGCGGCGTACATTGTCGCAACGGCGAAGTTTGAGGTGCTGAAGACGCTGGGCAGGAAGTTGGAGCAGGATGGTGGGAGGCAGGATGTGTTGGCTATGGTGAGGAGGAGGGTGAGTGACGGTGTTTGGGGTGATAGCGGGAATGTGGGGAGTAGGATTGGGACGTTGGAGATGTGAGACCAGTGTGATAGTAGGTGGGAGATGTTGCGTAAGGAACACGTTTGAGATCACATAGCAACTAGATTTCCCGAGATCAGTATCTACAACTTAGCAACTTCCCTGGATCTGAACCATCACATCGCGATAAACCAGTTTCAAGACCCCACTTTAACCACACTATGAACCCTTGTATGTCTCTGATACGTCCTTAATCCACCTTTGCGAATGATTACACATCCAAAATCATGATTGGGTCCAATTTCCACTCCACGGTCGCTACCAACAAGATTCGCCCACACACCGAGGCCGATTACATTGGCACGAGAATCTCACAGTAGACTTGCGTGCTACTTGACATGACAACTATTCGGGCTGTCAGACATGCAGGTGGCAATTCAAGCCATCCTGAATTTTATCTCAGCGTCCCTGAAAACGGAAGGGCACTCCACAAGGCCAAACAAAAGCTTGGTCGTCGCTTATATTACCGGTATGACTTGATTAAGCTTTGTGGCTTGATAAGCTTAGGATGATCTGCCGCCGCGCGTCCGTCCTTCGTGGTCGTTGCATCACTTTGACTACGTTGGGGCTGTCGCATGATCGTTGCGAGAGGTTTAGCAGTCAGAGAAAGCCTGTGAGCATAGTGCATGAATAATATGCGGCATATACAGTATAGCAGTGCGAAAAGTATCACGAGCAGCGGTAATGGACAAACTCGAGCGATGCCAGTGTCGTGAAACGCTGGATTTAACAAGAACTTCGCACTGAACTCCGCATCGGCCTTCCAGAGTCGTGATATGCTGGTACACGATAAGGAATAAGCTCAGAATGTACTAGGTATACCGTAAAGGCATGCCATGGAGCTGGGCCGCCGCATCGGGGGTCGTCTGCCCGGCCCGGAAGTGGAGCGTTATGAGCCACAATGTGCACTCATTTACCGAAGTAGAGGAACATCCATATCGATTCTTACATCAGTATTCATAGTACATCTGCAGTCGTCGTTGCCTCGCTGCTGACCTCAGCAGGTGCGGAGTGATGGGGTATACCTTCTCTCTTCCTGAGCAACAACAACTGCAACCACACACTTTCCATCTAATCCCATCACAAGTTCATCCTCCCAACTCATCGATTTTGCGAGCAAACCACATCAATGCTACTGGCCCGCTTTGAAGACACGCCTAGATCTGAGTTTCGCCTCGATCACGGTTGCGGAAAACATTGACAGTCACTGACACCGCTTGTGTCGTGGCTACTCGACACGGGTGAGTAGCTCTTTGAACCCATATTCGCTTTATCATGGCTTGCTAACGATATTGTCTTCAGGAATTGTGTAGACGACCATCACTGGAAACAACTCCAGTCTGAGTCTTCACTTACGCACTCGTCCTCAACAAAGCTTCATCACGTCACATGCGCACCAAACAATCATGGTGTTGCCCGATGAGCTCCTTTCTTTTCTCGGGTGGAATAATTCAGATGCATCATTCAGCAATGGTCCCTACCACATCACTCTTGAAGAAAAGCTCTTGAATCTCCGCCGGATTGCATACGCGTGCTACTTCCAGGAGCTTCGGAACAACCAGCCCGTTACGCAGCGCTTCCAGAGAGCATACGAGCTCTTAGCACAGGACGCTTTCTCCGCCGGTAATCGCACGACTGTCTTAGCAGCTGTTGTGAACACTGCTTGGCCTCCGGGCTCATGGACTTTTCTTGCTCCCAATCGGATGTATCTCCATGTAAGTCTGCATGATCGAGTCTGTGACATCCAACGGAAACAGAACTGATCAAAGATACCAGACACCAAATGGATGCCCCAAGCAGAACATCACCCAACGTGCATTCATCAGGGTGAACCAGGCCAAGAAACCTGTCTCAACAGTGACATTGATCGGGCAACATGGCCAAGAAGAGTTTGACCTCCGCGACCCCTCACAGCTATACAAGCTCTTCGACGCGGTGGTAGACAGCGAATTCATCTTCGCGCTGAAGGAGGCACTTCGCTTCCGAGATGCTCTCCAGCAGACAGTGGAACCTCCACCACAGTCGACAGCCCATGCTCATCCGGGTTTGTCCTCTATCACCAAGCAATACCAGCATGCTTGGAATAGCCAAGTTCAGCCTCCCGCCCACGCACTCGTCATCAAGAATGGCCAAGTCCGACCTCATGCTCGCGTACTCGCTATCAAGAATGGACCGAAGGAAGTGGCGAAAAAGCCCTCCTCCAGGAGATTCACAGAGCAGAACTCCTTCAAGACCAACCCATGTCGCATGCGCTACCAGCTCCTCCCTTACTCCGCAATCCCCTTCCACCTCATCACCTGGTCACGAAGCGAATCCGCGGTATCACCTTCAGACCTCGCAGAAAGTTCCGCCTTGCGAGATTTCATCACCGTGGACGGCGAAGCAGGCTGCGAATACGACGAGATGCTGCTCTTCTACTTGATGGGACTAGCGATGGAGCGCCTCGAGCAAGAAGGCTTCGCTCTGTTAGCCCATGAGGTGTGCGACCTCCGAATCCGGTTATCGCGGAGTAGACGCGGAGTTGATCCGCCTTTTGGTCCCACGTCAGGACGGCTTCTCGCAGTGGAGCCACACGGGCTGAATGATAAGATACATATTATCTGTCGCGAAGACGTCGAGGATAAGATCAGGATGTGGGTGGTGAATGAAGACCAGGGCCAACAGAGCTGCATCATTCGCATTGAGAAGCGTTCCGAGAACGCCGCGCGCACGCTTTCGAGTCTGGGGAAGAGGGAGGTATCGTCGTCGCCGAGGGTGTACAGCGCGATTGTGCCCAAGAAAGTGAAGGTGGAATGATGCGGAAGGGGTTGTAAGTGGCGAAGTTCCTTTTTGTTGGATTCTGTAGACAGTAGGTACAATTAGACCCGTCTTCTCGATTATATTTACAATTACTGACAATATCCCAGCTATTTGCGCAGATTCTGTATCCCATTCCTTATCGCCAATGACAGTCGCAACCTCGCGAACCGTCTTTTCCAGTATACCCAAGTCATTTAAATCGTAAACGCCCTTTTCGCCAACCCATTCAAATAGCAACTTGTATCTTTGTCTTTATTCCTCTGAGTTCCTCGCATAATACCTCGGTCGGGGCGTCGTCCTCCTCGACCTCCGCTCCTCACCCATATCCTCACTCTGCCTCTCTATCCGCAGCATCTCGCGCACTTTGCCATCGAACGTAACAATAATGTGGTACGGCACCTGTGGCGATGCCAGCCCGGACGACGAACGGTGGAAGTATCCGCTGCCTGCCGATGACGCGGGCGACAAAGGTGTGATGGGTGTATTAGGCGACGAGTCTCGTGACGACGATGCAGACGAAGTTTGCGTATTGATCGTCGTAGTCTGCGCGTGCGAATCCATTTTTAGGTTTTTTTCGAGGGTCTGGTGTGTCGATCGTATCGTGCTTTTGGTGGTAGTGGTTGCGGGTACGGTACGATGCGGTAGGGCCGAAAGTTTAAGAATAGACGGCAGTATGTAGTAGTGTACCGACTCTGTGCTGAATACGAGAAGGGAAAGCTACACCAACAACAATATTGATGCTCGTGTCCTGGCTAAGAATATATTCGTGTGTGCTCGGATGCGGGTGGCAGGTGGTAGATGCCTTTCGTTCCGTAACGCTTTGTTTACGGGTTTGGAGAGGGCCAAGAACAGGTTGGTTGTCGGGGTGGCTGGCCGGAGTACTGCTATGTGGGCAGGTTCTAGATGGCTTTTGAAGGTGGATCAGGGAAGATGTTGCGTAGACCCCTGGAAGCGCGTTAGGGATGATGCTTGTTGAGGGCTTTTTGTTGCTCGGCCGGCGTCCCGCTGCGGGATGACAGGATGTGGAGGTGGTACGTACGAGAAAACTTGCAAGTGCTACGGACGACTTCTCTTTCCCTATTAATCCGTGATGTGTGTAAACGAGAAGATGTAGTGATGACCCGTTGATAGTTGCGCAAATATATTGTATAGTGTGATAAGAATATCTGAATCGATATATAGAGCTTGATAATAGTAATAACAAAGCCCACCAAAAAAGTCAACAGCTCACCCACATTCCATGGTGAAACCCTCCTCCTATTTATCGAAAAGAACCCACATGGGCTGAGTCCGACGGTCGAGCGCTCGAAAAACACCGCGTCAGCGCCCATCCATCATCATCTCGGAGGCCCACTTGTGGGACGCGTTGCGGTCAGGCATCCGAGGCCGGCCGCCGGCCGCCGGCCTGCTGTGCTGCGCCTCGGCCCTAACAGATCGCCATAGCGTGCCTTGAAGAAAAACGTGAGGTGGCTGCACGTGTGTTACTATGTTTAGGTTGTGAGTTGTTCCATTGTTCGAGAAGGAAAAGTCAGGCGCGCAATGGTGTGTTCATCTTTGCTGCGTGGGAGAGGAAGGGCAGGGCGGAGGACGTTGGCTGTGCACCGTTAGGAGAAGCGACGGGGGTGTTTGGAAGGAATTATTGCCACTTTGGGCTGTGCGAGGGTGCGAAGCGAGGGCAGAGGGGAGATGAGCCCCCTGTACATCAGGACGACGGAACGTGTTTGAGAGCTTCTTTCTTGCTCGCGAGATGAACGCGAATTTCGAAGATCGCACTTTGGAGAGATGAGGGTGAATTGTTCGATGGGAATTCGGCAGATGCTATTCGGTCCTACCCCCACAGTCTAATGTCGAGATGCCCACCTGCAATGTCAATCCTGTTCCACCCTCACGAACGGTTTTTCTGCGAGAACTTTCGCATTACATGTGGTGCGTCTTACAGTACTGTACAGCTCTTACACTCTTTGCGGGTGCATCATGATGGTACTTGAACTGTGTCTTGGCTGCTGCGTGCGCCACCTCCCTTACATACCCCGAGTATGAATGTCCGTTGGCCAGTCGCATTCTTGCCCCAATATCGTCATGATAATCCATCGCTCCGCCATCGCAACACTTCACTCGCCAGAATATCCATCTCACGATCTCTCACAGCCTTGTGCCGATCTCCTCGTATCTACACCGTGTATCGCTTGCGACATGGCTAAGGCTACCCTGCATCCAACCCCGCCATTCACATCACCCAGCGCTCACTTCAGCCGCGGATACGGGCTCCCGGATGACACCAACACTACAAGTACTATGCCATGCGAGGCAACCTTAACTGGACATCATCGCCCGCCAAGTTGGCAGCATGCGGGGCGCTCGAGGCTTAGGTTGACCGGTTACCCGTCTTGTTTCCGATCCGCGGTTTGACTTCTGTAGCTTCTCGCGGGATGGACTTGATTGGGAGGTACAGTCGATGACGTGGGATTATGGTATTTTACCATGGTACCACGTGCATTGGGCGAAGTTACTTGATGGCTATGTTGATAAGTATGAAAAGGTGGGTGTTTCCTTAATTTCGAGGTTCTTGTTGTGTTTCATTGCGTTCAAGCGTTGCGCATCTTCACTTTATCACCCACGGAAAGAGTTTGCGCAATATTTACAAACGGCGCATTATCGAGCATTACGAACTATTTGGCACGAGAAAGCGAACATGGACAATCAAAAGAAACAAGAGCGGCAGGAGAGGTCTCAACGGCAACAACGTAAGCGATGAACACCCTCTTCATCAACACCATCCTTAACTTCATGTTAGCGAGGTACTCGATGAGCGATATACCCGAAGACCCAAACCAGCGCAGTGCATTGTTCATGCCATCATCGCGGAAGCGTGCAGACTCGCATCAACCACGGACAACTCTACACCACACACCACGGTCATCGGACGATGAGCAACTGTCTCAACAAGCCGTCATTTCCGCATATCTGAGATCGTCTTATTCTGACGACGACACGGGGCGTCCGAGGAGATTCTCATCAGCTGAGCCCTACTATTCGCCATCACCAGCCCACCACAATCCTAAGAGCGAGATCTCAAGAATAAGCGGCAACTTCAACGCGCCAACGGCCATGGAGCTAGAGCGACACAAATCCCACAAGAGGAGTTCGCGGGGGTTGGGGAAGCTCAAGAACGCCGTCAGGGGTCTAGTCAGGGCATGAGGTTTGTTGGTTGGGGCTCAGTACCTGCTTTTCGTCCTACCGCCCATCTCCTACTCTGTCACGTTACACGCATTGTCCACTGTGTGGACCCAAGATACCCCATCATTTCGTATATGCCAATTATTGTTTCATCATGTCCTGTGATCTGCATGCTCAGCTTTCCGGTCTTTGCTGTGCGACACGGCACGGCTGATGGTGATGAGTGACATCATTGGACCCATCCATTTCGCAACGCCACACATCCTTCGCTTCGCTTGCGCCTCGTTTTGCTCCGTGTCCGCCTCCCCGATAACGTTTATCCCCAACATCATCATCTTCCCAGATCATCGCGTGTCATTAAACAGTCCAAGACTGAGTTTGCCCGCTGTGGAATGTCTTCGCCAGTTTGTCATAGAAACCAAGCACTATACGCACTCCTGTCTTTGAGGCGTGGTCTTCTGATGAGCCACACATCATTTCCTCATCCGGACTGCGATAGCCAAAGCGTGGCTGGGCACGATGGCGCTGCAATGACGTCGTAGTATTACTTACAGGATTGGTATGGGTCTGTGTCATGTACATCATGTGCGTGGTATGAGTAGGCAGCTGTTTAAATATCCCAGCCATCGACCGCAGCAGCAGGACACGCGCAACCAATAACACTTCCATCATCAAAGGACGCTAGTAGTCACACCACATTCAAGTCATACAAAAGATCTCAGATCTTGTTTTCTAGATTTTACACTACTACTACTGCCACTGCTACTACCACTACGAGATCGAGTCATTCCCAAACGCGAAAATGGATCACTACCCCGAAGTCAGCGTCAACGAACGCGAAACCCCCTCCTCGATGCTCTCCTCGCGCCACGACTCTGCCTCGTCCATCGCCAAAGCCGCCGCCGCTGGTCAAAGACCCTCTGGAACCTCCACCACAGACGACTCCGCAGCGCGCAACTCCTCATACACGTCCTTCCCGAGTCCATCAACACACTCGCACTCGTCAAACCACTCCGCCCACCGCAGCGACTCGAGCTCGTCGTCCAACTCCAACCTCCAACGTATCGAAGCGGAGTACGCGCGGTATACAGATGCGCCTCCGCCATATAGCGAGAAGGCGTATGAGGGCAAGAGCGATGACGAGAGGAACAGCATGCGCATGACGGATTATGCGAAGGAGATCTCGAGGATGATGGGACGGCAGTTGGTTAGGGGGTTGAAGATTGATGAGAGGGAGAAGGGGAAGAAGGGGGATAACAAGGCGAGGTGAGGGTGGGGCTTGTGATGAATGATGTGTACGATGTGTTGTTGGAATGATGGTCGGTTTGGGCCTGGTGTTGGATTTGTTTGTATTATTACTGCGGTTTCTGTATCATTAGCACAGCGGTGGCGTTTAGTGATGACCTTGTGGCGCCGGAAGTGTGCAAGAAGTCTTCGACTTTGATACCACTAGTTCAAATTGGAGTCTTCAACTTGTCCCTTGCCCGGTTTCTCTTGTGTTGACCTGGAACCATACGACAGACTGCTTGCTAGCGAAGCTAGTTTACACGAGCAGCTTTCGCTTGAGCTCTTTCTTCTGCAGCTCTGCAGCTCGCACGTTCTTTATAGCTTCAACCAAAGGGGTTTCGACGATGGTGTCGAAGTCCAAGTTCACCAGCTCTAGTTGCGGTGGCAGCTTCACGGGTCTCCCATCACTCCAACACACACCCTTGATAAACTTTTCAGACTTCTCGACTTGCTCCTCTCTGTTGTCGCCAAGTAGTCCGCATAGAGTCTGGAATGTCGTATCATAACTGTAATCCCGTGGGCAGATACGATGAAGCACGCGCACAGTCTGAATCATAGGAAAAAGCTTTCCTAACTGCGTCGCGACCGAGGCAACATGCTGCCATTGATGATCACCTGACGTTGAGGCGCGGTAATAGTAGTCGTCTGGAACATTTCCGATAGCCGTGTCATGAAGGACGGCCACCTTCTTGACAAGATGTGCGTATGTTGGCGACAAGGGCAGGATATGCGAGCCGGGTAGGATGAACTGAGTCTGAAACTCGTATATGGGGCTGCAGATTTGGAGGGGTTGCGCGTAGAGCATTTCGGCGAATTCCCAATGGACCTGGCGGCATGTCCTCATGATATTGCAGTCGTGCAATACATCGGCCTGAGCCTCAGTGGCGGCGGGGATACCGTGTTTTCCTTCGTCGTGCTTATCGCGCCATCCGTCTCCGATTTGTGGCAGGTCGGTGCAGATGTAGTTGTAGACCATGTCTCTTAACTCTCGCGGTAGATCGAGAAAACTGACGCCGTTGTCACCTGCCATCGCCTCCCAGGTTTTGGGTATGGGTTCCTGCTTCTTGTTAGATCTCACCGACACTGAATTCAGTCCAGGTGTGTACGTACGGGCTTTCGGTAGGCAAGAGCAAAGGTGTACTCGGGCGCGTCTGCTTTGGATGGAATGCGCGTATCCATCGTGATGAGGTGGCATCGTTCTAATTTGGGATCAGTAAACTACATCATCATGATCGGTACGAGTGACCTACCTGCAAACATCTTGTCTTGAAGTCGCTTCGCGCTGGCCGACTATTACAGTGCTTTAGTTTTTCGAGTTAGCGAGAGTCCCGATCAGTCCAGTTCTGTAGGCCACGGAGTTTTCAGTAGGAATCCACCATAGCAAAGAAGACTAAAGTAAGACAAAAGTCACAGGCGAGACGACCACTAGCTCCTGGATGAAGAAGCGACATACCGGTTCCCTTCCAGCGCCGAATCGCGGGCTTGCCCTATCTCAGGCTACCTACCTGGGCAAGTACCTACCAGGAACTTTCTAAGATGTTGTCGATAACTCTTTGAGTCACCTATGTTCAGGCGCACTTTGACAGGTAATGTAGTTGTCTGTGACGCGTATCTAGGGAGGAGCTGCGTGGTTCGAGGGTAATGCGCGCAGGCGCGGAGGATTAGGCAGAGTGCTGACTCAGCAGGGCTGGGGAACGCTAACAACTCCAACGATCTGGGGCTATGACGCAGCCGGACAGCATCTTCGCGTCCAAACATGGGTTCGCAATATTCTCTCGCTAGTTATCTCGCGAGCATGCCAATAGCTTTCATCAATGCTAACGACACAGCAACACTCACCCGAATTGACGACGGTTAGCTGACATGACAAGTCGCGATGGCCCAGCCACGCGCAGAACGCAACGCAACAAAACCTTCCACCCAGCCCGCGAACCCGTGAGACACGGCACCGGCCTACGCCTCGAAGACGATCGCGTCACCGGCCCGGTTCCTTTCCTCAACCCCACGCGAGCCCATTACCGCCACGACGACCGTCCCGATGTCCGGTACAAGTGGACCTCGCGCAATGACCGCAAGGGACGACATGCCGTAGACATAGAGCATAGTCAAGCTGCCATCTCAACGAAACACGATACCCCACGCCCGACTTCCTCGTTCCGCAGCGTCGCACGCAACATCTGGCGTATGTTCACATACTTTCCGGTATGGGATATATCCTTCGACGTTGCCTTTGTTTTCACAATGGGCAGCGTGGTGTGGTTATTCAATGCCTTCTTCGTCTTCCTGCCGTTGATACGACCAGATTCGGAATTCACAAATGAGGAATTGTATGGTGGGGGAATAACAGCGTTTGTCGGGGTCTGCATCTTCGAGGTGGGGTCATTCCTCCTTGTAGCAGAAGCTGTGAATGAGGGCCGATCGGGGTGCTTCGGATGGGCGGTGGAGCAGATCCTATCGCATGAAGAGGAGGGGGATGTACGCGTAGAGCTGCGGCCGTCAAAGTCACATTGCACGCACCATCACAACAAACGGCATGCTGTCAGGACTCGACAGATCGCCGAACCAAAGCCCGATCTGGAGCCGCAAGAGCGTTCCTGGGTCTGGTGGCCGTCAAACGAAGAACTACGGACCCACTACATTCACAACCTCGGCTTTATAGCGTCCATGTCCCAGCTGCTCGGTGCAACGATCTTCTGGGTCGCGGGCCTGACTGCACTGCCCGGCATATACGATCAGATGTCGCAAACCCTTACCATAATCCTCTACTGGACAACTCAAGTCGTTGGTGGTATAGGATTCATAATTTCCGGAGCCCTATTCATGATCGAGACTCAGTCCAAATGGTGGAAACCTGCTCCTCGAACGCTGGGATGGTGGGTCGGGGCCTGGAACCTCATAGGCGGTATAGGCTTCACGCTGTGTCCGGCTTTCGGATACGATAATAGGAGCTGGGCGCAATATCAGGCGTCGCTCAGTACCTTTTGGGGTAGCTGGGCGTTCATGATCGGAAGTACGCTTCAGTGGTATGAGAGTTTGGAGAAATATCCTGTGCAAGTCGAGAGTGCCAGGTAGTACTTGCTGGCCGACTTCAGACGTTTCGTTCCCATGCTAATGTAAGTAGCCGGCCGTCGGAAGCAACAAGAAAAGCCGAGATCGCACCAATGTTCGCGTCCTCCTGGTTTCGCAATACCAGCCGTTCGCACCGCTTTCCTTCCACTTGCCAATGTGAACTGGGAACACTCCGAGTGACTCCTTCCGTGAAGATAGGAAGTGGAAAGCCCTGGGGTGTTAGCGTCCTCCACGCGGCAGCGGCAACTCTCCAAACGTGAACTCATCTTGACCAAATGACGTGCTCATCACATCTCGTAACCCCATCACAGGGCTGGTCAAGACGCCTCACGTGAACGACGTTACGCAAACGCAGACCAATTCGGCTTTCCTGTCCCCTCTTTGCTCCCACTACGCGTGATCGCTAAACCTGAAACTCTTTGTTACTCGAATCCACTCCTGCCCTTCGGCGGACGTCATGAGTGACAGTTCCACACGAAAAGAAGCTCTGGAGCTTTATAGGAGTGAAGAGCTACCGAGCATTTACAACAGCTACACCACAAGTCCGGGCTCCAACATGCTAGACACACCCAGCACTCTCAGACGTAGCAAGGAAAGACAGTTGAGTGTCGTCGACTGGCACGGCAACGACGATGCGGCAAACCCCAGGAACTTCCTCTCGTGGAAGAAGGATATCAATATCAGTTGCATATTCATCATGTGTTTTGTATCGTGAGTATCTTGCTTCATTCATACTGTAATCACAACCCGCTAACTTTCAATAGACCTTTCACGTCCTCCGTCGTCGCGCCAGCAATGCCAGACATCATAAGAGACTTCGCATCAACCGATGCCTACCTCTCTGCCTTCGTCCTGAGTATCTACGTCCTAGGCTACGCGTTCGGTCCCCTTCTCATAAGTCCCCTTTCGGAGCAATACGGCCGACTGCCTTTGTACCACGGATGTAACATGCTCTTCACGGTAAGCACCTTCGCATGCGGACGATCCAACTCTCTCGGCACGTTGGCTGTCTTCCGCTTCCTCGCCGGCGTGGGCGGTAGTAGCGTATTCGCCCTCGCGCCGTCCAGCATCGGTGATCTCTGGGTGAAAGAGAAACGCGGGGGGGGGTCATGGCCTTGATAGGATTGGCGTATAATCTCGGTCCAGCGATTAGTCCTACAGCGGGTAGCTACCTTAACGCTGCGAGAGGGTGGCGGTGGATATTCTATCTTACTGCTATTTTGGGCGGGTTGAGTACGGCGCTCAGCATGGTATGTTTGTCGGAGACATATGAACCGGTTCTACTGCGTCGAAAAGCTGCACAGTTGCGGAAACACACGGGAAATAAGGAACTAAGGGCCAAGTCTGATTTGGACGCTGGGACGAGCAAGTTGGTAGCTTTTCGCACGGCGATGGTCATGCCGCTACGCATGCTTTTCCTGTCTCGACCGATCTTCTTCACCTCGCTGCTCACGGCTATCGGATACGGATCCCTATATATCTTGTACACGACCATCCCGACAACATTCGTCGAGACTTACGGATGGGCGCCCAAAAACCTGGGCCTTGCTTATCTCGGTACGGCTGTCGGTAACCTCATTGGTATGCTTGGAGGCGGTGCAATTAGCGACAGCCTCGTCAAGCGGAAGGCACTCAAGGGCGACATGAGACCGGAGAACAGATTGCTACCGATGATATTTTGGTTCCCACTTGTGAGTATTGGGTTGTTCATCTATGCTTGGACGGCTCAGTATGGAGTGCACTGGATTGCGCCATTGATCGGAACGGCGGTGTTTGGTGCTGGGTCTATGAGCGCTATCGTAAGTTCATCCTCCTCAACTCATGTGTCGTCTTGAACCGGTTCGCAACACTTTCTATACAACTGCTAACTCTCATCCAGTTCTTCACAGGCACATACATCCTAGACGCCTACCCACTCCACTCCGCATCTGGCATGGCCGCCTGCTCAGTCATGCGCTCGCTCGTCGGTGGTCTTGCGCCTCTCTTCTCGCACAAGATGTATCAAAAGCTCGATGTGGGTTGGTCCTTTTCGTTGCTTGCGTTCATCGCTCTTGCTTTCGCGCCGGTACCGTGGGTGTTTTATACTTTCGGTGAGAAGTGGCGTGCTGGTGAGTGTTATGGAGGGAGGGGCGATACGGGTGGGTTGGAGCGAGAACAGGTGGGATCTAGGGTCATGATGGTGGAGGTAGACGGGAAGGCGCTTGCGTGATGATGGTCATGGATGCCATTGAGTTGGATGAGATGCGGTTTGCTTTTGCGCAGGGTCGTGGTTGCCCAATACGGCTTAGCCACAACGATGCCTTACCTTGCGATGCTCTCACTTCCAACACTTCACTCCGAGTCGTCGTTGTGCATGTCTTACGAGCATGACAACTTTGCGATTTCTCTACTCTTTCAGTTCCCGATGCATACTGTACTTCTTGCGGCAATCGCGAGTGACCTCGCTCGGTCGCAGTACCATGGAATGTGGTCGTTGTTGCCCATATCGCCAGGACCAGCGCTGTCCCCATAAGTCAACTTCTCGATGTATCATTCCCTCACACATTCATCATCATAAAAAGTTCGTCTAATCACATTCCGTTACCATCACATGCTTACTGCAACACATCCGTACTCGTTCACTTTTATCAGCAACGCAACGCATATATTGGGGTCACTTTCACTATCGCCAGTCACCCAGAGTGCGCACGCGATATTGCGTCCGTTTGCGCACCGTCACTTGCACCCGAAAAGCCTACATATCATAGAAACGTTCATCACCCGGCACATCACAGATACTACACCGCTCCCCACCTCCCGCCTCGCCAATGATCGGCCAACGAAGAAACGCACACGCCGAGACAGCGAATATGGCACTTCCCGCTAGAAGTACGAACATGTACAATAGACGCTACATAAGCACCGCCAGATCGGATTACAAGACACTCAACTTGAAGCCCGAAACCACCCGTCCGTACCAATCCGGCGATCCATCCGTCACAAGTGCTCCAGAAGTTCCAGGCACAATGGAGATCATCGTCGGACCAGAGTCAAATCAACGAACCTGGCATATTCCCAAAGCACGTCTAATACGACATTCAAGCATGTTCGACGGAATAATCGCCGCAGACAGAAAGATCTCCGAAGTCCAACTCCCAACCATCACTCCCAACGCCTTCGCCGATTTCGTTCCATACATGGAGTCGAGCGTATACAGTCCGAACACAGTCGTTACCGGTTACCGTAGCCTACGAGCACATGCTGAAGCCTGCCTCCTCGGAATTAAGCTCGAAGCGAGTGAATACTGGGAAGCCGGTATGCGGGAATTGTACAAGCTTGTCGAGCCACTCGCCCGGTCGACAAGATCCGACGCGAAACAATCTTTACTTCGAGCGAGTGATATTGCGTACATCTGCGCTAACACCACCGCCGAGAGCCTTCGTCGTATCGCGATCATCGGTCCTGTCGCAAGAAGACCGTCTGTTGGCTCCCCGCCTCCTCCAAGACAAGACCGCCACAGTCAGGCTTCCGCCGGGATGGAACTACTCCAAAGACTCTTTTTCGACGCTCTCGCCTCTCATTGGTCTCAGCGAGATGTCCACTATATCGGCGCACAGGATTCACCCCGTGGCGGCGGTTTCAACAGGAACGACGTTCCTGGAGATAGCACCACGTGGGGAGAGCTATGTGAGACGTATCCTGACTTCAAAACCCATATGGAAAATACCGGAGGCATCCAAAGTCGTTACCGGGGCAGCATACTGAGGGAAGTCAACACATACCTCGGCCTTCCAGTTGAAGATAAAGAAGATGGTGGAAGTGACGGCAGCAGTCGCAGCAGTGCCACGGCGGTCCAGACAGAGGATGTTGATGACCTCGTGGAAGAAGAGACGCAACGGCCAAAACTCACGCTCAAACTGAGGGGCCTGAGGCGGAGGGGTAGTAGGGTGTTCGGAGAGGAGTTGTCGGGGAATGTCTGGGAAGAGCACCAAGACCGTACTAGGCTTAGGGAGAGCGCGGATGGAGAGGACACCATTAACGACGCCGCTGAAGAAACTGCGACCCAGGAGACTACGGAGGGCGTGGACGCTGTCAGAGATGAATCAACCCAATTCGATGAGACTACAGAGGGCATAGACGCGACAGGAGATGAAGCATCCGGAACCGAGGAGAGTACGGAGGGCATGGACGCGGCCAATGACGAAGCATCCCGAATCTAGGAGACTATGGAGGGTCTGGACAACGGCTTCGAGAAGGATTTTCTAATTGGCTTTAGTGTGCCGTCAGAGCGTTCGTGATGGGGTGGTGAACAATGTTGGGCTCGGGATCTTGGACGCACTCTTTGACATATGAGCTGCTCTCGCACTCATTTACTTTCAGCATGCACGATCATTCCGGCGATGTCTTTTGGGTGCGCTTGTGCGAAGAACATTGATGGATATCAAGTAGTGCGAATGATATCATGTTGTAGCTCGGATGTTGCCAACCCTTTCATGTGTGCATGATACAGATGGGAAAAGTTAAATACTCGGCAGTGTACATTGGAATCCGAATAGAGATTAGCAAATCATTGACCTCATTTGTGCTTCTTGGTTAGTAACATTTCAAATGTTACGTAGGTGGGTGTTCGATTTTTTTTGGTCGTCATACACAGCTACTTGCTTTTAAGGCTTGTGTATAAACTATAGAACACCCAATTCTACTTGCGTTTCCCTTGCTTCCTGGGCTCATCAAAGAGAGGACTCTATGTTTACAAGATATTAACGCAATTAGGTAGTAATACCGTGGATCCGTATCATGACCTTCCGGCGATGAAACATCAGCGCCCGCGAGGCTGTCACCAGCGTCAAGGCGTCAGTTTGCCTTGTAGATGCCTGACTCCCCTTACGATCGGGCGTTCTGAGATCCTAGGGTTGAATCCTTCGGCTTGTTCAATGTGATCAACACCTAACACATGCATCCAGCAGCGGTAAATAGTAAAAGCCACGCCGTAAACACACATCTGCCACGAGCGTCTACGGACATCACTCCGACTTGAACCACCCTTCCGTCAAGGTTGAGTCAACCCACCATCAACAACCCCTAAGACCACCGTCTCAGAACCACAAGAAAGATGGTGGTTGCTAAACTGGTCGCCAGGCACCTCGCCGCACCCACGCATCTGCCACCAGCGCCTACTTCCAGACCACCCACCTGCCCAAACCACCTCCACACATCCGCATCAGCAAGGCGGCCAGGCTAGGCCAGACCACGAAACCCGCTCACCCACTTACTTTACTTACCCCAACCCACATACGCGCGCCTCTATTCATGGCGTCTTCGCAATCGAGTGGCCCAAGTTGTCCGAAAGCGCATCACGCAAGCGCTGGTGTCGCCCCCAAAGGATGAGGCGAGAGCGACTGGACCTTTTCTTAGGCCTAACCCCCGCCCGCGAGCGCCGCGCAACCGCTTCGATGACCTGCAGTAGTTTGCTACCCGTGCCGCTCCCTGGATCTGTCGAACGAACGAGCTGCGAACAAAAATAAAGGTCAAGGCTGGATTGATGATGGATTGTAGACATGGAAGTTAGTGGTGATGAGACAATGTGTCGATCAGCTTCCGGGCGTAACGCGCATGCGACGCGAGTGTTGGCGGCGCAATCTACTTCGTCAGCACAACGCGGTGCATCTTCGTTTTGTTTCTCCGCTGAACACGCAACGCAGCGTAAGGCAAGGCAGTCTATCAGGTCTCACGATGCAAGCAAGGACCGACTCCATATCGTCAGCTGATAGGATGTCAGTCGGAGATGCGTTGCGGCTGTAAGATGTAGCAGCTTGTTTCTGCACTGCCGACACTGCGAGAACATTTTGTAAAAGGTGAGGCTTGTTTCATCTTATGTTTTGCGCTGTTGGCCCACGGGTAGGTGGAGCAGCGACGAGGAAGCAGGCGAGTGAGTTGGTGAGGCGGTGGAGACACGGCATTTGGCAGACCCATCTGTGCGAGGCGGCAGACGAGGAACCCGTGGCTATGTATGTGGACATGGTATAGTCGCCCAGTGATCTGAGGCGCGAGGGTTGTCCTTGTGTATGAGCTGGGTATGAGGCTGTCAATGCATGGTGGATGGCGAAACATGTGAGTAACGGCGGGCAGGCGCGGGTATTGGGCTTGATGGAGCTGGTACTGCCACACTGCTAAGAGCCAAGAGTAGATGCCCGTGGTATTGTGTGAAGATGCCCATCAGGTGATTACTGAGATACCGAAGGCGAAACATTGAAGGTTGTAAGATTTGTGCTGACGAGGCTCTCGTTGCTTCGTGATGTGGCAAATGGTGTGAGCAGCTCACATGACTGTTATCGCATTCGAAGCAATGCCACTGAGAGACCGCATTGTTCTCATGCGACTACATCATCTTCGTGATGGCGATGTTCACATACACGTGACTGGAGATGTCTCACTCAGACGAAGTGCTGCGTACGCCAAGTGCAAAACCCGACAGCGCGCGAATTCTCGGGCTTTGCGATGAACATGCTCAACGTCTTTGACCACTTCACCATGCATACGGTGTACGGACTCGACGCCGGAGTTCTGCCCTGTAGTCGGACCTTACTGTGGAAGAAACTTCGCAGATTACTCGCGGCCGCTGTGATCTGCGGGACCCTCAGATCGAATCACCCCATAACGACGACTAAGCTCAACGCGAGCGGCTGTACTCGTCCAGAAAAGCCATGGAACAACACAACAGAACCGCAGAAGGTCCGACGTCCCTGCCGATCCAATCTCCTCTGGGTTGCCAGAGTGTAGAGTTTGGTTCGGTGGATAGTTACCGCCGACTAGAGGGCTGCTAGAGCTGAGCGTTTCATCATCCATCTCGATTGCTCGCAACGCACGCGTGCGACCAGTATAGGGTCGTGTAAGCGACGCATTAGAGTTCACGCTTCGCCAACGAGCCGGGCCCCAGACGGAGACTCCAGTTTCCTTTCAATGAACCATGGTGGAGTACACGGGTGGCTTGAATTCAAAGCTTTTGATGAAGCCGCTTGACGAAGTTTCCGGTGCGTCGTTATCACTGCATATACTGTTGGGACTGACATGTGAAGGGGGTGTATGGGCGGGTGATCTAAAGACGCGAGACATGTGGAATAAACTCCGGTTGCTGAGGCACCAGCCGGGAACAATATTTTGATGAATTGTGATGATGTTGGTCGATATGTAAAGAACGTTTCCAGAATGACGAGCCTGACCCCGAATCTTCGTTGAAGTGGGCTCCTACGTCGTTGCTACCTGCGTATGCATGTGCTCGCTGATCGGACCCTGGGAAAGCGGTTTCTTCGGAAGTACGATGAGAGATCTGACCTCAGCGTGCTGTATCAGAATAAAGTGATGAACAGGGTCTTGCATCACCGACCGCCGATGATGACGTCTGGGCAGGCATCAGCAACCTTGGAATGGAGCCGCGCAAGCTAACCCGAGAAGATCATCAGCTAACAGAGACGGCCTCCGTAAACCTTACAGAACAACGTAGGGTAGATAGATATCCACTTCGTAGCCAAACTTGTTATGTCAGAACAGAACGCCGCCAGGGTGAAGTTCCCGCAATGCATAATGATATAACGACATGGCGCTGCAAGACTTGCGGAGTCTGGTCCTTCCTTAGTAACCACGAAACGTTTGCTGCCTGCGCCGGCCTGGAGATCGACGAGGAAAGCTTCGGACCGACTCAGAGCGGTGTATACTATATTTTGCCATGCGTTTTGCTCGGCCAATCGAAATGTACACAGCCGCAAAGCATGTCTTTGCCAGCATTCTTAATTGCCACAGCCTACCAATTTCGGCGGGACCAAACAAGATCTGAGTAGGCACGAGGAAAACAAGGCTGATGTGCTGTCATTCGTTGGCCACACGAAAGTTTTCAGGTGGCCACAAAGTCTGGATCTGACTGGGCCTGCAAGTAAGTGGTTGATCTGGTAGTATCGTCACTGGCGTCGCCTGATGTTGCCCCCAGCCGCAGACGCCACGTCGCAGGATCTGTAAGCCGTCGAGACACTTGTGGTCGGCACCACATGTCGATTGGATGTTCCCTTGATCACACTGCCGCCGTTAGAGTTTGAGGGCGCAGGAGGTTGAGATGGCGGGGCATTTTAGTTTTGGCGGGTGTCTTATCGATGACTATCGATAACGGGCTTATCCTGAAATTCGCGCTGGTCAGCATTTGGCGGTGAAAGCACTGGAGGCTGCGACTCTCGACCACCTCCACTGAAACGCTCGAGCTTTGTGGAGAACGCCTGTCCGGCAAGGAAAGCATGCACGATTCTGAATCAGCAGGATCGAAAACGCGCATAGAGCAGCCTACGGCGGGTCGGACGGATCAAAGCAGACAACACGATGCTTGGAAACGACGGCATGTTGACGGATGGAGGCTGTTGCGGGTTGCACTATTGCAAACTGCATGTTACTATGCAGCGCGCTCACAACTCACCAAGACACAAAATATGCGCTCTATGAAAGAGATTGCTAGCGTCTTGACAAATTACCATGCGCATCGAACGGCTCAGCTCTCACCCGCGGCCATGCTCTTGGGAACGGCTCCTTCATTTCGAATACCAACAAAGTTTTCAGCCATGATATTGACCCGCAAAGGAACAATTTCGCTCAGGACATGATCTTCGGTCCCTTACACTCACAGACTCCCGCTCGTAAGTTTAGCCTACGGGAAGCGGACTTGGCTTGACTCTGTGCTCCTGCACGGATGACGCCGGAGAGCAGAAAAAGAATTAGAAGCTGCAGGTGCTTGCACGGCTATCTCGCTTGCGCTGGGGTCAGCATCGCAATCTGGCACACATCCCAGCTCCTACGACTCATATGCGGACAAGTCGAGTCGGTTATCCCTTCAACGGGCATGGATACGGGATGAGATACGAACCGGTAGAATGCTCTGCTTCCTCGATCTGGAAGCCTTGGAAGACGTTCTACGGTTTCTACTCGTTGGGAGCTGCTACGACCGGCAAACCATAGATGAACAAAAGTTCGCCCCAACATATTGCGCAATAAGCCACGACAGCAGCAGCTGAGCGAATGGCCGGTGTGGGTGGAACAGCGAGACATCGTTAGGCGGTGACTGCCAGGTCACAAGGCCATGACTGGATTGCAACAACACGTAGGTCTAGCAGGGCGCGAATGATGATTGGCACAAAAACACAAAATAATCTCCGCATTAATTGGCCAGGCGGAGCAGTCTCGAAAA